GAATAACTGTATTTTTAACATCAAAAGCTCCATTTTTATTTTTTTGCAACGTGTTTTTATTGAAATACTCGAGATTTACAGCGTCTTTGTTGCCAACTGGGGAGGCAACATTCTGTATGATCAACTGTTTTGCATCAAAAGACCCCACACCTCGTGTTATAGTGTTTTCCTTGAGAAATGATAGGTTAACGGCATCTCCATCCGCCTTTGGTGGAGCAACATCTTGCAGCCGGTAATGGTGTATCGAGTATGCGGTGGCGTCAGAGAACTTTAGCGGGGTATGAAGATCCATATATTGTTTTGTTACCGCATCTTTAACATCAACTGGATCAGCTATATTACATACACGTGTGTTTTGAGCATCAAAATGACCACTTTGCAGTGTCATACAGTTTAAAAGTGAATTCGCATGCGATCTAAAATTCATCGCATCAAGATTGTCTTTTGGATCGTCGACATTGCACAGACGTTTACCTTGCATATCATAGCTACCATCCTGTGACAATGCAAAGCCTACGCCTTTGGGTCCAACAAGACCCTTCTCCTTCTTAGTATAACGTCCAAACTTGTCTATGCCCATCGTGAGACTGACTTGTATCGACTGTTTCCGCTACCTTTTATGTATCCTGCTTCGTGCAGTTCCTCTACAATGTTTACAATCTCGTTACCGTGTGAAGTATTTCCCGTTTCAGCTGATGCTACCAACAGTTTTAGTCTATCGACCAACTCGTTGGGATTATCCCAATGCACTATATCGCGAGACTTTGTACTTTTCCACGACATTCCTCTACCCTGTCTGACGGGAAACAGATCCTTGATCACGTGTCTGTATTTTAAACTACTATCACGTTTGATTTGATTGTCAAAATTATAACCCTTTTTGTGAGCATTTGACGCAATCAATATACTTTTGTAGGCATTTAAATCGTCCTCTGTATACACATCGCTGTTTGGCAGTCTTTTAAATATAAGCTCATAGAGCCCCTCGGAAGGTGGGTATCTCGTGTTGTTAACAATAATGGTACCGTCAGTGTCAAATTCCATCACCTTGTTTCCAATCATTAAAGTTTTTCCTCTTTCGTCAAACCTTGGACCATAGTCGTGGTCAATAGTTCTATGTTTTCCACCGGCGTCTCGTATAAACTGGGTCATATATTTTCTAGTTAACGGGTTCTCAAACTGCTCTTCAATGTACTTGGATGCTGTTTGAAAGCCTAATGGAGACGAAACAACCTCTTCCAATTGACTAGTTTCAGCTCTAGGTGTTGATATGGCTTCTGGTTTAAACGGTTGACCAATGTAATCATCGTCATCGCTCTCATAGTCCATTGGTTCTTCTTTAGAAAGCTGTTCAATTTTAACATCTGTTTTCGGTTCGCCTTTTTTCAGTTCTCTAATTAACGGTTTGTATTGCTGTTCCAGCAGTTTTTCACTCTCCACACTGCCATCTTTAAACTGTCTAAATTTACGCCTAACTGCTTCTTTCAACTCTGCTATTTGCAGGGTGAGATGTTTATTCTTCCGCGTCATCTTTGATAATGAGCCTGAAACACCACAGCTAGCCTCTTAAGGCAATTCAATCTGCCGAAAAAATAGTGCATGTTTCTTATGTTTACGCAGGTAGTGCACTACTTCTTTCAAAGATATGCCCGAGGTAATATCTATATCTCGGTAGTATCTCTTTGTCACTAGATCAAATTGCGGAATAGTGTACCTTTTTGACCAATTTCGAAAAACAAACGTTCTTTTCCAATTATCTCTCCATTGTGGTATTTCCGCTACGGTATACCGCTCACTAACGTCAATTTTTTCCATATACCTCTGCAAAAAAGACATTGGACGCTTCATCTCATTGTGGTGTAACAGAAACGAGTTTAATAACCAAAATTCACTTGGATTCGCTCCAGTGAACTCACGCCACTGGTCAAACAGTTGACGATCAGTTATCGTATACACACCATTATTGAAACTTATTCCAAAACGTTCGCTATATTGTTGTAAAGTTGGCAACGCAGCCTTTAGAAATTCTGTTGTAAACAGTCCTTGGCACAGGTTGTTTACCCCGGCATAAGGTTTACCACGAGATCTCGGTAATCCCGGAGGTACCGGACCATATGCTACATTATAACTCACATCGATATGGCATTTCGAAGCCATCGCAGTTTTATAAATCGTCAGAGGTGATCTTATTGGTAGAGTCCGTTCAGTCAATACTATACATCTTGCTGCGTGGGGAATATTGCAACCGTATTCGAGCATTCGGAGGTAAACCTGGGTAAAGTTTATGCTACCATGAAGGTTGCGCAATGGTAAAACCTTACCAAAAATATCCGGAAACGGTCTAAATCTCGAAATAATATTATGGGACTCTCTAACTGTGCAGTTGTTCATATCTTCGTGATAGACCACCAGTTCAAGTGGAACTTTCTTTTCTTCGCATTTTTCCAAAAATCTAATCCAGATTTCACGGTTATACGTACGCTCACTCGCAGATATCATTAACAAAATAACCGGGGGTAGTACAGCGCTCTGTTTTGGCACTTTATGTCTCCAACACCGCCTATTGTACTTGTGACCATGACGTCCTTTTCTGCTACAATAGTTTCCACAAAACTTTTTCTTATCGGAATAGTAATATGTGCAAAGATTAGATTTAACATTATGAAGTTTGGTATCGTAACCTCTAAGGTCATTGTAGGTGTAGATGTTAACCATTATAACTCCTCAATGAAACTGTCAAATCCTATACGGTATCTTCCTTTATTAGTGTCCCGAGTCTTGTCGATAACTAAGAACCCATGATTGTCTTTCCACGCTAGTGCACACATCTGTTTGAATCTATCAAATGGCATGTCGGTAGTGACATGGTCGCTATATATGTGTCGTAAATTCATATCATCCTGTTTGAATAGTATTAAAAGGTTTGCGTTGTCTCTGATAAGCTGCTTTGGTATAGCACTATACGTCTGCCCCAAATAAAAGGTGTCAATATTGTTATGCCTACCCATAGTGAAATAGTTTGTAATGTTGTTGTGTTTCTCACAGGATATATCGTCAAATATCATTATTGAATGCTGTTTAGCTTTATTTGGATGAACTACCAAGTTGTTGTCACCATATGCAAAATAACCAATTTCCTTAGGTAGAGCCAATGGTAAAAACTGGTATTTGGGCTGATTAAGGGATTTACAGAAAATGTAGATATTTTCAAAAACAAGACCATTTGGATCGAATAATAAATTAAACACAACATTTGTTTTACCCGAGTTGCTGGGGCCTGAAAGGATGCCGCGAATTGAGTCTGGTAGCAGATGGCCATGTTTATTTTTAGATGCCAGACCCTCGCCGAGATACTCGTCATAGTTTTTTACCGTCAAAGGGGGACTCTGCTGTGCCACACGCATCGTGTTCAACTGATGTAGCACACTCACCCTATCGTTTATAAATACGCCCGGATGCAGCTGCTTGATCTACACGTAGCCGTCACCGGATGCTCTAAATAAGAATGTCGCTTTTACTAAGCCACGTGTCGCTTCTCTTGTCAAAGCCAAGCCATCTGACTTTTATTTTATCTCCTTTCCGCTGTAACACTCTTTCAACTAAATATACATCTCCGGTCTTTGATTTATTTAGCTCCTGTTCATAAAACCCTCCCTTTAGTATTTCACCGTTATGGTCTTTGAGTACATATGTAGGTGGTTTTGTCGGTTTGATGGCGTAAATGGTGAAAACCTCGTTTGTCCAGTTTGGCAGATAGCCTTTAGTAAAAACTCTTTTGTACTTGCTAATCCTAACACTATCCCCCAGTTTAAATTTTGGTGTCACCCTTTTCCCCTTCTTGTTTATCCTTTTTAATATTTCCTTTACATTCTTTTGTTTCACATCTTTTGGTTTCATACCAATTGTTTTATGTACCGAGTTATTATATCGTTTGAGAATATCAGGAAGTAATGACAACCATTCATATGTACCCTTTGCGGTAAACTCTTTCCACATCCACTGTTTCAAAGTTCTGTTATATCTCTCCACGATACTAGCTTTTAAATCAGAAAACGTAGAATAATGGTTAATTTTATACTTTTTCATAAGAGCACCAATATGTTTATTAAACCATTCGGTTCCCTGATCGGTTTGAAAGTATTTCATCTTATGTTTTATCAAAATAGGTTCAAGTGCCTTGGCAACTGCCGGACCTGTCTTATCTTTTAACGGGACTGCAAACCCGAGTTTTGAAAAACAATTGATCATAGTCATGATGTACCGATTACCTTTATTTAGCTTTGCATAAGGCTGCATCTCTACGAGATCGGCCTGGTACAAATCATTCAACCCTTTAAGAGTCACTTTCCGTCTAGTGTAATTCTTTCTAGCAGGTTTGTGTAGCTCTTCAGCTATAGCACGTCTGACATCCATTGTTAAAATGATACAACTTGACAGTACATTGATAATTTATTAAGTTTTTATAAATGCTGCGGCCCCTCCACCGCCGCAGCTCGTGATGGCCTCCAAAAACAAACTAGTTGCCACCTCCGTTTATTTTTTTTTGTTTTACAAACATTTAGTTTTTACAATATTTACAAGTTACTTTATGGAAGATAAATAAAGGAGCCATGCAAATGCTGCATGTTTCTTTGGGGACTTTAAACTTTGGATACATGTAGTTACCTCTTCGCTTTAAGCGAGAAGGAAGATCAACCATTCTTCCACAGTCAATACATAACCTACTAGAGCCTCTAAAAGACTCGTAGTAGTTTAGGGTTACGTAACCACAGTTTTCTCTATGACAGTTCAAAATGTCCTGCTTTAGCGTTGATGGAAGATCAACACTTTCTTTTACATAAGGGAAAAGGATAACATTTGTGCAAATTTCCCTAATTGAAAGCTCAGACAAGGACAACATGATGGCAAGAAGGTTCCAAATAGAATAGTCTTTTTATTTGGCACCCAGAAAAGCTGCGGCCCCTCCACCGCCGCAGCTCGTGACGGCCTCCAAAAACAAACTAGTTGCCGTCTCCGTTCCCCAAAATTTTTCTTACCACCTTCTCAAAGATGGGATCAAGGATTGTGGACAGGAACATCTTCTCAATCTGGTCCAATTGTATAGACGTGCTGCACAGATGGTGCATCTATCTCTTGGAGTCTTAAATTTTGGTACACATACAATTGTTCCAAACCGTCGAAAAGAAATATTCGCTGCCTCTCCACAATCCTTACAAAACTCTTCATTGTCGAGAAAACAAATGTGGTAGTAGACATAGCCACAGTTTTCATGGTGGTAATTGAATATGTAATCTTTAATCACAGGTGGGATTGCTGCTTGCTTTACAGCACTTAAAAGAAACAAGTTATCAGTAATTGTTCTAGCTGAGAGCTCAAGTAGGGACAACATGGTGGCGAGAAGGTTCCAAGTGGAATGACACTCACCCCTCCACACATGGTTTACGGGCTTTTTAGTCAGCCACGCCAGTGACCTTCATACATGGTTTACAGGCTTTTTAGTCAGCCGTGCCAGTGACCTTCACACATGGTTTACGGGCTTTTTAGTCAGCCGCGCCAGTGACCATCATTCACACATGCACAAGGAGTAGCTCAAGTCCTTCCAGATTTGAGCGCCTCAATGTACAAACACATTCAAAAATAGCCCCACTCCAGTTGGATCCCAGCCACCATGTGTTTCGCATCGTGTTTTGGCTGGATATTCTCCATCAAGCGCGACGAGCCGTCGCCATTTATCGTCAAGACAAGGGTGGTATTTCTTAGGCCAGTAGAACCAATCTACGAAGAACTTCGACCCTTGGATCTCAGGCCACCACCGTTACCACCAAGAAACAGAGAATATGCCACCATAAAGGTATGTAGTGATAGTGGAGAGGGGAGCGCAACACATGTGCAGCATGTGCAACATGTGTTCAGTGTCCAACATGATCTCTCTGATGCTGGTCGTTAGTGATTTTGTTCAACATTATTTATATCGCAGAGTATGTGAATTTTTGAATTTGATTGAAGAAGACAACGATTCAGACACAGATTCGGAATTTGGGGTCAATTGGGGACCGGGAGGGTGGAACGGGTGGAACGAGGTGGATATTGGGGACTGGGAGGAGTGGAGTGACAGTGATGGTAGTGATTCAGGAGTTGAGATTTTGGTGAGTTTTTTGAATTTTAAACCCATATGGAAGTGTATCATAATTGCTACCATGTTTCCTTTTTGGTCCCGTAATTTTAAACTGTTTGACCTCACTGATTGTAACTATATTCCTATCTTTTGTTCGTCTGATTCTATTTTCCTCAATGTCCATTGTTTGTGCAGCATCACCAAGGACCATCTCTTTCAAACTGTCAAATCCAATCTTTTTAGAAGTTTTCATATTTAATGTAAGCCCTTTTACTTTACAAACGGGAATCAATTTTTGTTTGTTTGTTGACCACACGAGGTATGCATAGGTTTTTGGCCCTCCAGATACAAACTCTGTTATGTATGAACCTGGTCCATACTCGGCCAACTCATCGGTCATTTCCCCTAGATAATCTCCCGTAGGAACTCTATACAAACCACCCTTGTATACATACAATACAGAATCAGTATCATAATACAACACTTGACCACCCAAGGCATCTAGATGCTCATAGAGCTTCAATCTCGCTTGGGCAGTGGTGTAAGCAGCCACCACGACATTAACATTTTGCAATGGCTCACCAACCTCATCAATGTACTCCCAGCTGACAACAAGAACCTCATCATTGACAATCTGTACTCTATTTACATCAATTTCAGGACTGGTTAACATTTTGAAAAGTGTTTTTGGGTCCCTGACAATTGTAGCTTTGGTCTGATTTTCACGCTGTCCAAATTTTCCCCAAAACGAGTTCAACATCAGTTTAGCCAACGACCTCAAACCACCATTTTTTACAATTTTGTCTTTTTCCAATTGGACGCCCTCTTTTTGAAAATAATCCTCAATGTACTTGTTTTTGTCCTCCTCTGTTTCACACCAGCCTGGAAACCCGGATGCTTCCTGTTTCATTTTTAAAAATTTATTTATAAAGTCAGTGAACAATCCCCCATTTTCATATGTGGCTACCTTATACTCCCAAAGTTCATACATGTCGAGTACAACATAACCCTTTTCTACGGCTTTACGAATCTCGTCCATGGTCCAGGTCCCAATAAGTGCTCTGTCACCACTTTCGTGGTCGCAATCACTTTGAATCTGACCATCTCCACAAGTCGCACACAAAACAAACATTAACTTGTCATTCATTTTAGCCGGGAGCACAGGATGGTAAAGATCGCGTGGTGGGAGTACTTTACACTTTAATAGGCCTTCAACATTAAGACCTCTCTGTCTACACTCTCTATCACCTACATAGATTGTCGGATGGCCTACAGGGTACTTGCCATATTTACATACCCAGGGATAGAGGGAGCATACATCCACGTATTCAATAGTTTCCCCTTCAGCACATTTGTGATACGTTTTGGCATTACCGGTTCGACCCCCAAAAAATGCTTGCCTCGGGTTCAGAGGTAAATTGTTGAGGATCGGCAACTTGTCTAAATGTTTCATGTTTTCTATCTTTTTTAACTTTCTAAACTCACATTCCCACATTTGTACAACGTTATCACCCAACTTTGCTATTTTCGATTTGGTCCGTTCATACCGCAAATGGAGTGAGTCAGAGGGGTCCTCTTTCAAAGCAAGTTCACGGTCATAGGGAAAGCATTTGGGACAGCCATGCCAGTAGCAGCCTTGAAATTCGTAAATATTTTTACCATCATACCCATCAACCTTCATTCCATTGATCTTAACTTCTTTCCCACGACCAGCATGTTCAATTCTAATTCCACGTTTCTCCTCTTCCCACGATAGCCACTGTAACGCAATTGCCGATTGGGCGTCTGTAAGCCTATAGCCGTTTTTAGGAACGATGCCGATAGTATTTTTCTTCAAAAAGTTCCTGCGAAAAGCTAAATTGCATGCGCTGGCAATGGTTACAGCCTCGAGAAAGGGATCAACATTACACTCTTGCAGAAAAATTGAACGGAACTTTAAACAAGCTTGAGCTAAGATATCAACATCTGATACACAATACTCTAGGATTTCTTTCTTAAAGTCAAACGTAACATTGTTTGAAACCTGATCATTATACCAGTTTTCAAAATCTTTGTGTGATTTTTCAAACATAGATTCTGGACAGTAAAACTTCTTTGCCGGCATAGGGCCCACATAGTTTTGATTCTCAAGGGTGTTGAAAAGGTGGGGGAAATAGCCTTTCTTCTTTTCCGGGGGCAGGTCAAAGGCCTTGGGCAGTGCAGCTAGAGACATGGGGAAATAACTAAGTGAATCAACAAACCTCACATTGTCAATCTCCATCAAAATTACCTTAGTTCCCCGCATTACAAGTTTCGGAGTGAACTTTGTATCCTCCAGCACATACTTTAACAAAAATTGAAAATCAAAGCCCTGCCCATTGTGTGCAATGACACAGACATCTTTGAAATTTTTACGGACTTGCATCACATAGTCCATGAACTGAGTGACTGGTTCTGATTTAAAGACTCTTGTTCGATTTTTACAAGCCATACAAAATTTGGCCTCAATACACTGATAGCAAAACTGTTGTGACACACACAAGTTTACTTTATGGACCTTAGCATCAGTATTTGAGGGCAGAGACTCATCTTGGCGGGTTTCCAAGTCGAAGAAAATAAACAGAAAATCTTTTGACTTGGGCTTTCTCGTGTCAGGTTTCATATAGCATTTGTGGTTAGGGTCTTCAAATGAACTACAAGGTTTACAAAATACTTCACCACATTTATGAGGCTTGGATCGTTCTTTAATCCAGACCAATTTCCCACAATCGAGACATTTCTTTACATTTTTACACTTGTCAGCTTGATGCGCAATAAAACATTCCTGGTTTCGGTAGGTCATGTTACATTTAGGGCACAGAATACCTCCATGCTCCTCTACACAGGGAGGTGAAATAGTTTGGCACTGTGGGCAAATGTTTGAGCAACGATGCTCTCCTTTGTGATCATAGGGTACATGACAGGCTTCACAGAAATAATTACAAACAAAAGCAGCTGTCAAACAATTAATTACATTGTAATGTCCATTGTAAAAAATTAAATTTAGTGTGAATTTTGCATTTTCCACATTTCCCTCAAAGTACACATCGCGTCCTTTCCTGTCATAGTTATACACAACAATTTTGTAGTCCCTCAAAAACCCCTGAAATTTTTCAAGTTCCGGGATGCCAGCTCCACCTTCTGGCATTTCAACCCTCGCTCGACACACAAGTTCTTGAGCCCTAACAGTCTGTCTTTTTCCATCATCTTTCCTTACTGCGTTGTAAAGGGGGTCTTTGGTTACATTGGCCATAGCCACTACAATTGCACGGGGAAGACACAATTTATCTTTATTATTAATGACAACAATTCCCCGTCTTGCCTTGCATTCCTCGTCAAACGTATTGTAAAACCCTGGTCTTACCCTTCCAGAACCTACAGGAAGGTTAATTCTAGTGCATTCCACTTTAAAGGTGTCGGTAGATTTGATAGATTCAGAGTTTGATTGCACAATACCGCCAAAGATTTGCCACAAAACGTTTTCATCAATTTCAGTAGCCGGACGAAAATTTACATAGCCTGGTGCTTTTGATTTCAAGTTGAGACTCTCCAAAGTAAACCCAAGTTGATCATTTTCAAAAGCTTGTTCTTTCATACTATTTACAATTTGTGCAAACCCCTGTCTCAACCAATCAATCTCATTAGTCTCTGGAGGCGGATTGGTGAATTTAAATACAGTTTTACTCCCATACAATCTAAATTTATTTACATAAGTTTGATCAGTACTAATCAAATTAACAGGCTCAACTACTTTTACGGGTTCAACTACTTCGTCAGATACGTTATCAGCCATACTAACATCCATCGTCGTCAAACGCCTAGAGCAAAGTAAAACAGACGTGGAGACACAAGATCTAGAGGGGACACGACCTGCGCGCGCACACAGCTAAATATAGCACACCGATTGCACACTACAACACAGAGACACAAGATGTGGTGGGGACACAGCTGCGCGCACACAAAGCTGAATATAGCACACCGATTGCACAATACGTTACAATAAAGAAACAAAGTTTACTTACCACTGATGTACCGTAAATAATCAAACTAACATTTAACACTAGAAATAACTTTCAAACATAACCTCAAAACATCAAACACAAGAGCACACGTCCAACACGTTCAATTGCCAAGAGCAAAGTGAAAGAAAATAAGTACTAAAAGGTTTAAATAGCAAAAATTGGCCAATCACACAACAGATCACCTATTTATGACCAATCAGGTACAAGCTTATTACAACCAATCAGCAACCAGGATACACACCATTAACACTTCCTTGTTTTGTTACAGAACCATGAAGATGAAGAAGAAGAAGAAGAAGAAGTTTAGTTTAGTGTTTGTAAATATTTTTAGAATAATGTAAATATAAATCGTAGATATAGTAGCATTAAAACATATTTTAGACCAAACAATCTGTGTAATTATTCAGGACACAGCTTTGTGGAGGTTATTTCATTTGGCAAGAGTTGATCATTACAGAGGTTATATCAGTTGGCGGGAACCTACGCAATACGTAAAGTGAAGCTTGGTGGGAAGGTGAGGTTACGTTGTTTGGCGGGAATCGGCGGAGAAGAAGTAAGGTTTTTTTCGTTTAGCGCGAAAGTCACTTGGCGGGAAGGTGATTTTTTCGTTTGGTGCGAAAGTGAGGTTATGTTACTTGGCGGGAAGGTGATTTTTTTCGTTTGGCGCGAAAATAAATGTGAGGTTATGTTACTTGGCGGGAAGGTGATTTTTTTCGTTTGGCGCGAAAGTGAGGTTATGTTACTTGGCGGGAAGGTGAAGTTTTTTTCGTTTGGCGGGAACCTACGTATGCAATACGTAAAGTGAGGTTAGATGTTTGGCGCGAAAACAAAAGTGAGGTTAGACCACGTGGGACACCAGAGGGCGACCACGTGGGACAAAAGGGGGCGTGGCCTAGGGGGAGGGGTGGGGATGAAATGCTGCTCTCTGATTGGTCCCCGCAAGAGCTGGGTATCCTACTCATGGATAAGCTGCACCTTAAGAATCTTAGTACAGGTTATGTCCGATGCATGTTCTTGATGCACATACTGCACACGTAAATTATTTTTCAAACAATTTATTTAATGGGGCATATATTTATTCGACAAATTTAATTGACAAACCTATCTGGGTTTTTGAAGCACACCCTAACTGCAGTCTTGGATCACTTAGATTATGATGAAACTTAAATATATGGTATACAATTTTAAAATAGCACTCCTCTTCATTACACTAATAAGGTAAGAAATTTAGTCATCTGGATTTTTTGGACGAGGCAGACCCTTTGCATGGGCAGCCAGATTCCCTGATATTATGCCTATCTTATTCTTTGTTTGGGCATGTGTACACTAAAGCTATGTATACAGTGAACAGGACTTGAGAAAGTTGTATAATTGACAGTAGTTGTACAAAATTGAGAGGAACCCTTTCCTATAAGATTACAGTTGCAGCAATAAAGAAAAGCTAAAGAACACGCAAAGTCAGGTAGTTTAAACCACATATTTAAAATTCTTAAGGTGCAGCTTCCCATGTTTCTGTTTGTTTTCAATTAAATTAAATAATATTACCTTGTATTTCAAAATTTATTTTGTAAAATAACTTAAATTGCAAGCATAGTGTTAATTATTTATTATTTTAATTACTTCTGACTTGTGCATTTATAAAATACTCTATACTAACCTGGTCTGGTATTCAATAATTCAAAGCCTTTTTACTATGTAATATGGTATTCAATATGTACTCAAATATTAGATGTTATAAGATTACTTGGGGTATACCTATATAATTATACAGATACCTTTTGCACACAACTTTCACTAAACGCGTTCTTGTAATTAATGAGTGCAGAATGAAAAAATGATTAATTTTATGTTTAACGTCATATTTCTCCCCTTAGGCTGACATTACATGTCACATATTGCATATCATTTTAAAGCTTAAAACGTGGATAGATTTGTTTATACTATTTAACAGTTTTTAACACTACTTAATAAAAGATTTTCTTAAGTGAGTTGTAGCACCCTTTTTATCGATTTTTCATTTTTTTTATTTAAGTCGAATTTACAAACTTTTAAATGGGTTTATCTGTGTGTAAAATATTTGACACTGACTACCCTGTGCCACTGAACACCCTGTATATAGAGATTAAGAAACAGAGTTTAAACCGTCGCTTCGTTTGAAAGAAATCAACTGTTCTTTTAAACATGTGTAAGTTAATTAGGAGAATGTTAGTAGATTGGTAAAACATTATCTTTTTATTAGCCTTATTTGAACAAAATGGTTTTGAAAATGGTTTACGTTTCTTGGGAGATAGTTGAGGTTATCGATTAACGAACGGAAGTTAAGTTTACTTTTAGTGAATATTTGAAAATTTGTAAATATATCATTTACTAAAACAATTTATGAACTTTTTGGCCGTTGACTCCAGGACAATGTTCTTTGTAATTTATTAGAGACTAGAATCAGAAAATTTTAAATTTAACCTCATCAATTTAGTATCAGAATATAATAGTTTATAAAAAACTATATCAAGTTTTTAAATGGCATGCAAACTTTAGTAGGATAAAAAAACTATTTTGGTAAATTATTTTAGGCGTTAATTGAGGTACAGTACCACAATCCATTTATTACTATCACTTATTCACAAGGCTACGTCAAAATTATGAATACAACGCTCACTGCTTAGACATACTGCAGGGTCTTAGTTTAAATAGGTTAGCTTCCCCTAAAACCCGTTTTTGTTGGACTCTTCCAGAATTACAAATCTCCCTGAATAATACAGCCGACCCCTTCCGCCCCCTCCCCCCCCCCCCCTTCAGACGTAGTCATACTGCTAACATGTCAAACTCACTTGAATGTCTCTTCATAAGTAATTTAATACGGAATCTATTGAATCAACAATGAGTTGAACACAGTTTCACTCTAGACACATCGTAAGTCAAATTTTAGTGGATAGTAGTGTTAAAGTTTTTTTTAGTTTGTAATAAAAGTTTATTTATAATGCAGTTAAATTACGCTGAATTTGCAGACTCTATTACGGTGACTAAATAACAAAATTAGTTCAGAACCCAACAACCCTCAAATTGCCAAATATCGTTTTACATTTTCAAATCTATTTAGCTGACAATAGCCACTACCCGTGCTTAAAACGGATGTAATCCTTATATACAATTCTGTAAGACAAATGTTTAACAGAAAATTGTGGACGTCAGGAATTCGGGACTCCAGGGACTCGGGAAAAATAGCAGAATTCCCATAAAGTTACCAGAAAACGAGATATAACGTAAAATGTTCTCCATAAGAATAGCATTAGAAGCCATTTACTGCTGATATTTGTTTAATTCAATAAAGCTGATCGTGATTAATCATCAAGCCAGTACGCAATATTAACATTTGGATTACTTATTTGCCAGTCAATTCTGCAATGTACTATATAAAACCAGGTATAACGTTACCTATAATAATTAAGACTTTTTACCTACGTTATAGAATGTGGAAATACATTATTTTACTGTGAAAATTTTCAAATTTGTGTTTTTTAACGTTTGACATAACCACATTGACTAAATAATTAACGATTCAAGATTTAATGAAAAAACTTATGCTTTGTTTTTATTAAAAAAAATATGTTATAGATTTATCCTACACTTTCTTTATATTAAATTTAAGATTTATTGAAGTGTTTAATTAATATTTTGGATGAAGTGGAATAACCTCAACGGCTACTCTTAAAAAATTACCTGGGAATAAAGATGGAATAGGTTCGTACAGGAAATATATATTTGTTAATTAAGTAAGTACTATGACAAGTTCCAATGGGAGGAAAAACAATATTGTTTAGAGATTTAAACTGGTACTGTCTGTTGCTCGTAAAAAAATTAAGAATCAGCCGATGATTAGGCCTAATTTGATAGAATATATAACGTCAATCGCACCTTTAAGAGGAGTACCACCACATAAACTTACATTACTTACTAATTATAGTTTTTTATGTTGATCAGAAAAAATCTACGGTTAAGTTTGGTCAATGGGATGTCTTTTTACTTTACCCTAATGTTGTTGAACCTTAACAAAAGGAGTATACACTTAGAAATATTAACCGGGTAGGGATGCTAATTTAGCGGGTTTGGCCAAGAACTAAGCTTACCTCAACACACCTTTATTTGCCTTTTCATATTTGACGAAGACAATTTTCAAAATTCCAATCAGGGAAGTCTTTTTTATCACCATTAACCACAAAACCAAAGCTACCTTATAAACCAGTATTTTTATTCACAAACAATTATACGTTTGCTGCCTTTAGCAGAGTTAAACCTATGAGTGATTCGAATGATTTATTGAAAAATAACATGAACAAAGGCAAACAAAAAGAAACAACAAACTGTTTTTACACAAAAGATATGTCGTACAGGGATATCTATTCTGACACATGGATAATATATTTCTTAGTTTGTTTAAATAGTAGAATGATTTGTTTTATATTATTGAGCTTTTTAGCTACTTATGTCCCTATACAAGCCACTAGTTGTAAATAATCATATAGCGGTTTTGGTTTTCCCTGAGTGCTGCTATGTATTTTACAAGGATACAATTTTGACATTTATTATTTTTCTCATAATATATTCTAAGAAGCGTTTAACCAATGATCGCCAAAATTATCGCAATTAACATCTGCAACTGGATTTAGACGTTTCAGCCATGCAGTGATTTTTAGTCATTACATGCGTTTTAAAACACGTTAAATAATTTTAAAAAAATGAATAATATACGGTATCTTATGTATTTAAAAAATTTGGTTTTTCTTTTCCGAGTTCGTTTGGCTCTACTACCCGACCAATTTTCATGATTGAGGTATCAAACTGAAGGTATGAACGCACAGATTTGACATCAAGCATCGGCATAAATGTATATATAATCCCACTCGACATATACGTAAACGAAATTTGCTC